ATTTCTACCATGTTTATTACTACTTTTTCATTTAAAAAATTTAAAATAAATATTTCTATCGCGTTTTTATTACTATTTTTTCATTTAAAATATTTTTATTACGTTTATTATATGTTTAAGTTATTCTTTCAGATATTGAGACTGTATCTGATGACGAAACTATATCAGAAAATGAAATTTAATTCCTTATGAGTCATCATCTATGAATATTGTAAATGTTTGCATTATCTCTAGTATTACATTATTATGAATATTTATTTTATTTATAATAAAAAATAAAATTTTCTGTTTGTAAATCCTAATCTTATGTATGGCGAAAAATAAGTATGCCATACATAGCATACGTTCATTTTTAATATCCATACATGTATGGATACAATAAAAGCATACATAAGCATACAATACATACAACGTCAAGCATACACTACATGTTTTATAATCACCTGTTCTGATAATTCTACTGGCAATTTTATTGTTCATCTTTCTACACATAGAATTACTGAAGAAAGCCATAGAAGAAGGATGAGTGAGATATGAAATAACAATTAGTTATCACAAACCCATATAAATGAAATTATTTGAAATAATCTAGACATTAAAAATAGTCAGGACAGGAAGTTTGAAATATTGATTAAAGATAATAGATCAATTAGTATATGTAATAATGAAGGTTTTGTTGAATTTATTCATGAACTTGATCCAAATTATCAAATTCCAAGTGATAAAACAATTCAACAACTAATAGCTGAATTATACAATCAAATCAAGATTGTTTTAACAAAAAAATTTAGTAAAAATATTATTTCTTATTCTATCACAACGGATCTATGGACAGCACGAAGTAGAAATGGATATATTGGTATTACGTGTTCTTTTATTGATAACAATTTTAATATCTGCGAAGCAATTTTAGCAGTTCAATATGTTTTATATCCTTATACAGGTGATAATATTTGTAAAGTATTACGTGATATAGGGTCTTTGCAATAAAAAGGTACGAAACTCAAAAAAAAATTTTAATTTTACTTTATATGCTAATTATGTTTTTTTTACTGAAATAAATGCAAATTTAATATTAATTCAATTTTTAATTTTTTTTGAGTTTTGTACCTTTCTATTGCAAAGACCCCATATTATTTCAAATTGGAATTTAAATGATAAAGTCTTTACAATAATGACCGATAATAGTTTCAATATAGTAAAAGCTGAAAAATTAATAAATGAACTTACAAGATTCCCCTGTACAGCTTATACATTACAGTTTATTGTAGATAAAGGATTAATACCAGCAGAAGTTTTAATTGTATGAGCTAAGAGACTAATAAATTTTTTTACATCATCTAAACAAATGGAAAAATTACTGGAGATTCAAAAAAATACTAACCATCTTAATAATAATGAGGTAATTAAATTTTTATTTATTACTAATTTATTAGATTATTTATTACTCTATTATGTTAAAAAAATGCACTCCATTTTATTAAATCAATTTATTTAGTATTAATTAATGTATTTTCTTCAAAAAATTATTTTATTACAGAATTTAGAAAATAATGATGGATACCTCTGAATGATTGCTAATGTAGAAACTCAGTGAAATTCTAGTTATCTTGTATGGAAACGTTTAATAAAAATCAAAGATCTTATTGATGTCCTAGTATGATCTACTATGTTGATTGATTCTGATGCTTCAACATGACATGATGGAAAATGACTAAAAAAAATAAAGATGCACCAGAAGATGAATCTATTTCTGGACAACCTATATGTAGAAAAATTAATATTAATATACCACAAAATTGCATCAATTTTGATAAATGTGTTAAAGCAGCATTATACTAAGCAATGAATCATTATTGGAAAGTTCCACAGGAGCAAGGGATGTTAGCTACTTTATTGGATCTACAATTTAAAGAACTTGGATTTGCGTCTAATTCATTGTGCCTTAGATCTCAAGAGCAATTAAGAATGCATATCAAAATATGAGGATATTATTGTAACTGGTGAAAATCAAGAAGTTGAATTACAATCAGTTTCATCAAATTCATTATTAGCAAGGATATTTCAAGATAATGTTACTCATGTTAAAGTAGCTAATTATTTAGCTTTACCTAAGATTCATCATGACGATTGTCCTTTAACATGGTGGAAAACTAATAAAACAAGATTTCTGGTACTATCAAAATTAGCAAGGAAGTATTTGGCCATCCCTGCCACATCCACTCTAAGCGAAAAACTTTTTAGCGAAGCTGGTAATGTTATGACCATAAAAAGAACACAGTTGGCGCCAAATATGTTGGAAAATTTGGTGTTTTGTAAGAAGAATGAATTGGCATTTGGTTGGAGAGATTTTTCCTTTAAATATTAATTATGCCAATTAATTACACGAAAAGTATTTAAATCTTTTTGTTCTTTTATTTTTTTTGAAACTTTATTTTTTACATTGTATTGTGATATAATAATGGATAATATAATAATAAATAACAATAAAATAATAAACCATACTGTGACTATTATTTCAACTTTTCAATTATAATAATAAAATTTTTTTATCCGTTGTTATCTGTTTATTATGTTATTATCTATGGCAAGCCAAATCAGACAAAAGTCTATCAATGCACAGATGAATTATCACAGTTATTTCTTTCCATTTTTGGTAATTTTTCACAGATATTTTACATATATTATTTGCAAAACTTTCCAAAAATTTTTACAGACGTTTATTCTGAATTTTCCCATTTTTTATTATCTGAACTTCAACAGATAATTTATCTGTATGTTAACAGATAATTATCTGAATATTAACAGATAATCATCTGGGTAATAGCAGATAAATTATCATCAGATTTATATATTTTTTTGTGTAATAAATTAAAAAAAAATTTTTTTAGAAGTTTAAAACTTGTCAAATATAAACTTTTTTCATAATTTTTTTATTTATTGCTTTACAAGGGAAGTTTTTAATGTTTATTAATATACTTTTTATAATATTTTATTAATAAATAATAATTACTTTATAGTTTTTGATACATAATTTATTTATATTTTTATTTTATACTATAACAGAAGTGAATTGTTTTTTTTAATATCTCAATTGTACTATTTGTTTTTAAATTAAACAAATAAATTTTTAAAAATTATTTTAAATTAATACATTTAATATTATTCTCTCTAAAACTAAAATACAAATTATTGTCTTAATAATTAGAATAATTTTATCTGTTAATATTCAGATAATTATCTGCTAACGTACAGATAAATATGCACAGATAATAAAAAATGGGAAAATTTGGAAAAAATATCTGTAAAAATTTTTGGTAAGTTTCGCAGATAATATATGCAAAATATCACAGATCATCTGCAAAAAATTCCCAAAAATGGAAAGAAATAACTGTGATAATTTATCTGTACATTGACAGACTTTTGTCCGATTTGACTTGCCATAATTATCCGGATAAATCTGCAATCCGGATTATCTGTGAATTGCACAGATTTATCCGGATTTACCCGGATTTTTTATTGGTAGAAATCCGTAAGGTCACGGATTATCTGTTCGCAGATAAATGGATATCCGGATCGGACCACTAATTTGAGTAGATACAATCTTATTCTTCACACATTATTTGTCACCGCACTGTTCACGTGACTGTGCATAATTCCGTGATAACGCTAGGGTAGTTATTAAGAATTTTTCAGAAAAATGATCACGTGCCTGAGTTTCTTCGGAGTTTTTTTTATAGGAGTATAAATTCTTCGATATGACCCTTCAGTTGAGGTGAAAACCAAAGGGGTTGTTTCTGTATATTGAGATTGAGAGCTGACTGTACTGTACTTTAAGATTAAATGACGAAATTTTTTTAATTGGCATAAAAAATTTTAAAACTCATTGTGGTCAGATTTATAATGTGATTTATTCGAAATTTATTACCAAGTCCACCCAGAATTTCGGCAAAATTTGATCATAAAATCATTGAAGGAATAACACATAATCGTTTATTAGTAAGTAGTAACAGTGGTTGTTTAATGATTCCGTATTCATTCTAATTAACTATAATCGTAATTAAATTCAACCAATTAATCTCTTCATAAAAAATATCGTCTTTTTCTTTTTAATTTATGATGTCAATACCTGCGGTAATCAGTTAACTATGATAGTTTACTTACTTTACTAAAACAAAAATGTCAAAATTTCATTTATCAACAGAAATCATTTAACATAAACAAAAAAATTAAACATACAGTAGCTCCATTATACACGGATCAGATTTCGGTTTTTATAGTTTCGGAAATGATTTCGGGTAGTTTCGGTTTCGATACCCATGTTTACTGCTCCATTAATGCATGATAATTTAGTTTATGAAAAATTCCCAAATACGTAAAAACAGCGTAGAAGCGGCAAAAAGATTACCGAATGTTGCGCAAAAGTATGTTGCGCAAAAGTATCAGACTTGACCCTTCTGGGGGTGTCATCTTAGTTAGCACCGCGTCGCGGGGCAAGTCCGATACTTTTGCGAATGCATTTGACAAAGAAAAAGGAATGTATAAACAGATTTGACAAATGAATTAACAGGTTTGAAGATCAGGCCATCCCGCCTGCTTCTAAAAATAGATTTCATTTGTCACACCCCTTCGCATTCCCGTAATCCAATAAGTCTTATCTGCGTCAATATACACACTTAGTCATCACTTTGTTGTTTCCGCGTTCACGTGTTGGGACTGGTTGGGACGTGTTTAATTAGTAAAATCTTATTATTAGAAGCGGGTGACATTATCTCGTAATCCGTAAATCTTTACTATTTCTTTATTTATAATTTATTTCAAATGCTGAGTAGGAAAAATTAAAGGATAATTTGGATTATCTTCAATGAAAAAGTGATATAAATACTCCAGTGGCAAAAATAAAATAAAATAAAATAAAATAAAATAAACATTTCTTTTTTTTTTCCTATAAATTCACACTGTATTTTTTTTTTTTTAAAAAAAAAAATATAACATTAATAATGATGCAAAATTCTTCAACCGAATACCCCGAATACTCCGGATACCACCCTTTTGAAGTCGCAAATGATTTTAATGATCCGCCATACGAAAACACTCTCTTAACACACCCACCACTAACTCAACGCAATGTTTCTCAACAAAATAATAACTTTTCTATGCACCAAAATCTCCAAATCTTTTCCAATTCTTTTAATGCATTTGAAGAAAATATTAACAGACAACTTAATGAACTTAAAAGGTTATTAAATCAGATAAGACAATTTATTATCGCGCAACAACCACAACAAACTTCTATGCCTCGTCGTATATACCGAAACCATGCCCCCAGACCTCATCCTTATTTGAATGAACGTCCTTTAGTTTCTTCTCGTACGCCAACTATTCGTTATGCTGCACCAGCGTACCGTCATACTACCGAACAACTCTCTTCACCGGATGCTCTTCATCGTCAACAAACTAACGTTCCTGCTGAGACAACTGATGATACTCAGGATTATGAGTTTTGGGAAAACTCGTAAATTTGTATACAGACAGTCTATTACAGTATACAAATTATATGGCTTTATAATAAAATACGATCTATGTTCTTTATTTTTTTTTTTTTGTTTTTTTCTTATTTCATTTTTATACTTTGTTATTTCTTTAATATTTATATTTTATACTATCATATTTTTTTTATATCTTATCTCATAAATACATAATATAAATTTATATCAAGAAGTGTGTAGTTTTGTTTCATGGAAAATTTTGCATACAAGTTATAAAAGTTGAGAATTATTTTTTTGCAATTAGAGATTAATAGTCACGCCGGCTACCATTCTCAATCGTTAATTCTAGTGATATCATAATTGAATAATTTAACATCAAAATATAAAATAATCTGTTTTTCAGAGAGTTTTTTACTTTTTAAAAATAAAAGTCTAATTCTTGGCCGCATTATGTTTATAGTAAAGCGTCAGTTAATCTTACAGTGGAAAAAGTTCAGTTTCGATGTGCAAAAAATGTTGTTTATACTGTAGTACATTTCTTATAAAAAATACTCTAGTAATAAGATCCTTTGATAAAAAATACATATTCTTATAAATTTACACTAAAACATATATTCTAACAATCATGCAAAATTCTTCAACTGAATATCCTGAATACTCCGAATATCAACCACCCTTTTGAAAAGTTAATGATCCATGAAAACGAATCAGAAAAATTCTCGCATTCTTTGAGTATTGGTTTCGAAAGACTTATCGTTATTGAACCTCATTTGCCTTTATATAAAAAAAGCGAAACAATATTTTTTTTTCTTTTTTTTTTTTTATCGAAAATTATGTGTTGCACTCCTACATAATTCTATTCTCAATTTGACCAATAAAGCGGGTATAATCAGCCAATTTCATAATATAGTAGGGAACACCCATCATTTTACTCCATACCAATAATAAATAAATCTTTTTAACAAATAAGATATTGATTACCGAGCAAAAATATTACAAAAAAAAAAAAAAAATTACATTCTGAATGAAATCGCCTTCTTATCTTTTATCGTGTTAGATAATTTAAATAATCAGGAAATGCATATATATAGTATATATATACAGTATATATAATATATTATGTTTTATATGAGAGAAACTCAAATCTAACATATAGTTTTTGCCTTTATTCTGAACTTTACTGAGTTTTACCGAATGTACCGACGGTCCAATATAATACAAAATAAACAATAAAGATCTTAAATATTAACAATTTCTTTCTACAATTCTACCTCACCAAAATATGATTTTCGTATTTCTAGCTATTTGATTTAGGAAATTGCAAAAATTTCACGGAAAATGAGAGATTTTTAATTGTAGGAAAAAAGAAATGACAATCTATAATTTTTTTTTTAATTTATAGATAAATTACAATCATTGATTATTGCTACAGTCAATTGATAATACTGAATAAAAGTTTTTGACCTATTTGCTAATAAATAAAGAAATACTAAAAAAAAATAGTATCAAAATCACATGATAAAAAAGGAATTTACTGACTGACTACTAAAAAGTTAACATAATGCGGCCAATAATCCGCAGCTAATGACATACTCTCAGATTTTTCTAGAATCTAGCAATATGAATTTTTTTGTTACACATGTAAGTGCAACCTATTTGCGAGTTATTTACGGAAAAATCGTTTTAGTAAAGATTAGCCTGTTTAATGCGGAGCAACTTACAGTAATTACAATAAGAACTTTTTGAATTTAATTGGTTCTATTTGAGAAAAAATTTCATTTATATAAATTATCATACACTAATGGAGTATAAAACTCTTGTATTTGTAAAATCATTATATCTACACGTGAACATTTGGAAGGACCCAATGAGTCACTGAGTCACATCCAAGAAATAGAGTATACATACATTTTTATCATATGACCTTGTATGTATTAAAATATTAAACAGTCTTCGACAGATATCCCACATCCAATAACTATCGGTCATTAGGAATACTGCGGTGACCAATATCCTAATATTGATTCAATATTAGATGACTATTAGATGTCTCATAAAAATATCGGATGACAAGATTCTTGAAAAAAAAAATATAATAAAATATACCGGCATTTCTTTTTTTACATCTTCCTATAAAATTTACACTATCTGTTTTCTTTAAAAATATATATATATATATATTTATACCAGTAACCATGACGCAAAAATTCTCCTTGAATATGATTTTAATGATCTCTTAACACCCACCACTTACACAACAAAAACTCTATGCACCAAAATCTCCAAATTTTTTCTAATTCTATTAATGCATTTGAAGAAAATATTACCTTTTTTTTATATCGGTGTAAGCCAATATCCTTTTGAAGAAATTTAATAAAGTTTAAAAAAAACTGTTACTATGATTCGCTCATAGTCTGAAGGTATTACGTAAACCATTTTTTATACGGAGTAACATCAGGAGATTATATGAGGCGAATAATACACATCTAGATGTGTATAAGAGACAGGAGTAACATCAGGAGATTATATGAGGCGAATAATAGTGTAAAGTTGTCAAATATGTATAATCTCTGGAAATTTATAAAAATCTATAAATATACAATTATAGTTATTTAATAAGAAGCATCTTAAAAAAAGTGTCATAAAATTTTTATGAATATGTAGTTTCAAGTTTTATATCTTGAAATAACTTCTTGAATTAAAAAAAATATTTCGTTGATTTTGTATCTTAAAAAGTTTCATAAATTCTACATAACAGATAAGTAGTTTCAGCGATCTACGCTCTAGAAATTTGCATAAATACATGATTTTGCATAACCCACGCGAAAATGTAAAAATATTTTGAATAATTTTGTATTTAAAGAAGTTGCGTAAAATTTACACAAATAGGTATATACGCTAAAAAAAAATTGCAGATATTAAATAATAATATATGATAACAATTAAAAATATTTTATGAATGCAAATTGGTATTTTTATAAAAAAATTATATAAATACATTTTTATTCTAAGATAAATACGAAATATAATACTAATAATAAAAAAAAGAACAAATAGTGTAGTGGTCGGATAATGAGACTTAATATATTAATAGTTTATCTTGAATTCGGTTCGATTCTAAGGTATTCAGTTTGACTCTTAGTGTAAGTAAAAAAATAATAAAATGCATTCAGTTCAACTCTTAGTGTAAGTAAAAAAAAATAATAAAATGTGAAAAAATTAAGAGAAAAATTTTATTAATTTTACTACATTATTTTTTACTATTAAAAAAACTACGTCATTTTTAAAAATACACTATTTTATACTATTGAAAATTCCCCTAAATTTTTCACACTTGTATATCGTCGTAGATTTGCGTAGTTAGATCTACGCTTATTTTATTCTCCTGATGAATTTTTATTTAAGATTGATTTATGGTAAGGATTTACTACAATACTGCGGTAATATTAATTAATGATGTGTAACAAATTTTGAAAAAGAAAATTTTTTACCCTCTGAATAGACATTATGTAGGTGTTATAGAAATCTTTCACCACTGTCTTTTCCTGTAATGGAAATCTGTTCAATTAACCAGTTCTGGATAAATTAAATAATTCGTCAAACTTTAACCAAATTGAGATAAATGACAACTTGAACAAATTAATGAACTTAAATGGTTATTAAATCAGATAAGACAATTTATTATCGCGCAACAACCATTACCACCATAACAAACTCGTCATACTGTATATACCGAAATCATGCCCCCAGATCTCATCCTTATTTGAATGAACGCCCTTTAATTTCTTCTCGTACGCCAACTATTCGTTATGCTGCACCAACGTACCGTCATACTACCGAACAACCCTCTTCACTGGATGCTCTTCATCTTCAACAAACTAACGTTCCTGCTGAGACAACCGATTTCTCTTCTGATATTCAGGATTATGAATTTTGGTAAAACTTGTAATATGACTTGTATGCAGACAGCCTATTATACAAATTATATGGCTTTATAATAGAATATTAGATTATACATTTTTCAGAATATGTATCATTTTATTTAGGTTCGAAGAAATTCAGTCTGATATAACAATTTGGCAGGAAATTGAATGCAAACAATCATTCGTAATGAATGAATTTAATGCTAACTTGGATGTTTTGTTAATAGATAATTCAGATAATGAAGACTCTGATACAGAATTTTGTGAAAATGCGCTAATCAAATTCAACAATTTATTATCTTTTATTTAAAACTAGAAGCAAATTTAGCAATTAATAACTGTCATTTGTTGCTTATCACGTGATTAACTATACGTATTTTTTTAAAAAATTGATTTACATTAATGATCGACTAGTGTAAGTAGAATTTCAATTTTTGGTCTGTTAAAAAAATAAAATAATAATAAAATTCGGATAATGTAAATATCTGGAATTATCCGAGTACATATTATACGTTGTATATTCAAATTAACAATGTCAAGAACATGGAAGGACAAAACTAAAACACATTCTATTGGTAGTAGTAAAACAATAATAAAAAAAACCGAAGGGTTGTTACACAATAAAAGTGCAACATATTTCCGCCTCCATCTGTTTATCGTGTTTATCGGAGTATTTTCTTATATTAAGAATGGTGTAACACTTTATAAGTCATATTTTCTGAATAACACAGTAACACCGGTTATGCGGGGATTCATGAATTCCCCATTTTTTTTTTTTTTAAAACGATATACAATTTTGATATAAATACTCCAATAACAAGATTCTTGAAAAATAAAATAAACATTTATTTTTTTTTTTACATTTTCCTATAAAATTTACACTATTTTTTTTCTTAAAAAAACATACCAGTAATCATGACGCAAAATTCTTCAACTGAATATTCTGAATACCACGATGCAAATAATTTTAATGATCCACCATACGAAAACGAATCTGTCACTCTCTTAACACACCCACCACTAACTCAACGCAATGTTTCTCAACAAAATAATAACTTTTCTATGCACCAAAATCTCCAAATCTTTTCTAATTCTATTAATGCATTTGAAGAAAATATTAGTAGACAACTTGAACAAGTTAATGAACTTAAAAGGTTATTAAATCAGATAAGACAATTTATTATCGCGCAACAACCATCACCACCACCACAACAAACTTCTATGCCTCATCGTATATACCGAAACCATGCCCCCAGACCTCATCCTTATTTGAATGAACGTTTAGTTTCTTCTCGTACGCCAACTATTCGTTATGGAGCACCAACGTACCGTCATACTACCGAACAACTCTCTTCACCGGATGCTCTTCATTGTCAACAAACTAACGTTCTTGCTGAGACAACCTCTTCCGATATTCAGGATTATGAATTTTGGTGAAACTTGTAATTATAACTTGTATACGGATACAGATTATATGGCTTTATAATAAAATATTAAATTATACATTTCTCAGAATTATTTCTCTTTGTTTTTTTTCTTATTCATTTTTTATACTTTATTATTTCTTTATATTTATACTATTTATATTTTTCTATGCTTAGTATTAAATAAACTTACTCATCTTATCTCATAAATACATAAGACAAATTAAGTTTTTGATTTTTATCAGGAAGTGTGAAGTTTTGTTTCATGGAAAATTTTGCATACAAGTTATGATAGTTGAGAAATTTTTTCCCGGCAATTAGAGATTAATATTCACATATCATTCTTTCGCATAAATGACAGCGGTAACATCTTGCGATTCTCTTTACTCCATTACTTCTTCCCATATTATTCCCATTCATACTCCTCTCCAGAATACAAAAGTGAAGCAAAAGTATCGATCCTGACCCTGTACGACATATTAACTTTGATCATTGGTGATTCAATATTACTTATATTGTTAGCTTATCGTAACAATTTCTAGATTCCCACGAATATTTTTTTGTTGTTGCACAGCAAACACTAAAAAACCAGGAAATAGGACCGATGAAAAGGCGTAATTTTAGAAAATAGCACCTGATGGATCAAGAGCGATACATTTGCAAAAGGGATGTGGCACGGACAACAAATATTTTTCATGAAAAATTTTCACTCACCCTCACGCGGCGGTACCGTGACGTAAAGTTACGTGTCTGTCGTTTTAATTTTTTTTTCTTTAACCTTTAACAGTGATACACGATGCATCATCAGCTTCAAGAATATCTAGAAGGAAAAAAAAACGAAATCCGCGCAACGAAAGTCATTTGTTGTCCTCCAATTCCAAAATATAGCGAATCGAGTTTTTCCAACAAAGGTTTAAATCAAATATGATTTAAAAAACTTTTTATTTAATAGAAAACTTTATGATTGATTAATTTATCAGAATTCTATTAATAATTACTCCATTCCTTATTTTTTTTAAAAACATATAAAAAATATATATATATATATATATATAT